TACACTTGACTCTAATTGTCTACTCTATCACCATGCTCGCTCCGTTGAATCCTACCTTAACCATTCTATCTCATAGAGGAGCTCTCTAATACAACCACTACTAACCCAACCAACCACTTCATACATGCCCTAGCTTTTTCTGCATCACCATTTTTCCCTTGACCACATAATATACTCTATCGAGACTCGCTAACCATTTCTAATACGAATCCCCTTTCCAAGGTAAGGCCTAACTAATTTTGCACCATGAACACTACCCCCCTTTTCATTATATAAGAACACATGCAGCCTCTCTAAAGATAGTGGTTAGTGACAGTGTGACCTTCGATCTCCACTTACCAAAAAACATACATAAAGATTGGGCATGATAATTCAAAGTTAATTATAGTAAACGATGTATTATAAGTAATTACAACATCATAAACACACATATATAGGAAATATAATTCAATTATAATTTTAGGAGAAATATAAAATTCCCCCATATCAAGAACAAGTAGTCCCTAATGGTTCTGTCGTGGAACTCACAACCAAACTGTTACTATGTTGGAATGTGACAACTGATCCAATATATATGTTAGAACGTTACACTTAATCCATTATATATGTTGGAAGGCCATAATATGAATTTTACCCAAAGGCTAAACCCCCCGCAAGGTCAACACAACTCACTTTTTCCATGCATGAAATATATTACGCAATGAGAATGAATTTAGGACTACTAAAGTAACTAAACCTAGCCTATCTAGGTACCAAGAAATTGTAGAGGGATGGTAGCAGTAATCCTGACTTTTAGACAACAAGACAGTGGATTTTAATTGGGAATGAGTGAGTTGTGTCGACCTTACGCTAGAAATCTATTTGTACTTCCATCCTCATCCTAGATCAAACTTTTGAGCATTTGTGGAGTGATCCTTACCTCTTTTTAGCACTTAAGGAAAAAAAGAAAATAAGACTTCGCTTCATTAAGTTCTGCCCCTAACCATCCTACACTGGCGCTCCCAGCTGCTGGGGCACCACTGTAGCGGCACCACTCTACTCTCGTTGAACAGTGGGCTCTAGTTACACACAATGTTTTCCCCTCCATAAGTAATAAAGATTTGGTTCTTTACAATATATATACTAATTTACTCCTTGTTTGTCCCAAAACAATGGATGGATGAGTACAATTATCCAATCTAGAATACTTCAAAATTAATGGATCAGACCATCATGGACCAATGAAAGATAATGCTTCCAACCTTTAGGAAAGAAAGAGTCATACATAGGGAATACAGTAGGGAAACGAGGCAACACATAAAGGAGTAGAGATTTCCTATTTGCCTGGCTAGACCCCTCTAGAGCGGCATGATTATTGTTGAGGCAGGATATTCCGCGTGGTGGGAGATCAGCATCAATTTATAATAGGGAAAGGGGAATGGTTTCATAATTTCCTCCTGTATCTACCCCTAAACTAAAAAAACTGTCTCAGTTGCTTCACTTTGAACATTACTATCCCTACTCTAGTTTCATCAATTTTTGCTTCACAACAATAGAATGAAAACATTCGGTTGGGCACAATGGGCTTAGGGTAGTTTTTAAAATTCACATCGGTTGCTGATGTACTGTGGTTTCACGTTGCTCTCAATACTTTTTGCATAGGAGTTGCGTGTGTCTAGAGCCCTTTTGTAGTAGTTTAACATGTTTTTATGTTTGTTTTGTAGGAACGATGTGTGGAATAAAAATGCAGAAGGAAGGTGGAATATAGTGCAGAAAGACAAACTTCGAAGGCAATCAACGGTCCGTAGGTTGTAATATCATCGATTGCAGTTCAGACTTATGGAAAAGATCGGGGAAATATGACCAAGTGTGGAACTACGAAAGGGATGATAAATGGATCGTATTGGAAAACCATTGATTTTTATGAGAGATAAATCCAGTACCCGAAGTTGGAGAAATTTTAAAGCTGGAGAGACAGAGGGCATCAACCGACCACGTTGTTGGTCCGTAGATTGATTTGGAGATGGTGTCATTTGAAGGAGAGAAAAATATTCTAAGTCTATACTTACGAAGGCTGTAAGTAGGAGTTGTTGATCAATGCCGCTTTTTTTGGAAAAACATTCTTATTTCAATTCTTTTTTATTTAGGACAATGTTTTCTATTAATAGGCTTTAAAGCCTTGTTTTGGGGGTTAAACATTATTAGTATTCTTCTTGTTTTGTTTGGAGATTGGCTTTTGAAACTTTGGCAATAATTCAATTTTTGGATTTGGTTTGAAGATTTATCTTGCAATTTCAATTTGATTTTCTGGGTTTATTCTTATTGTTGAAGTAAGTTCATGATTTCTTCCTTAAAAATTCTGAATTGTGATGTTGCTTGCAGGGGTAAATAAACCCACAATAGGGTTGTAGGAACAATGAGTAATTAACAAAGGAAACCTATCAAATGAGCAATTCTCAAATAGGTTCTTGCATGTATTGATAATTTTTTCTCTTACAAGTCTTTTTAAGGGTGACCAACATTACAACTTGTCTTAGTGCTACTTGACCAAGGAGATTGTAATAGGAAAAGAATTTCATTACATATTTAGTGGGATACTATCTAATAGGCTAATGTCGATTGGTGCAAAGTAATAAATAAGTCATACATCGATTATGGTGTCTAATATGAAGTAAGAGTAAGGGTTATTAAATTATACACACGTAGCCAGAACAAGGTACGGGGTGAAATTCTCTAGATGCCAGACCAAGGATTTAGATATACATAACTTAATAACTTTACATGAAAAACACTAGGGACGAATTGCTATTGCTAGGGATATGACATTTTTAACATATAGGAAAAACATATACCCTAGTTAGTCTCACAACTTGATAAAAACACACTTTTAAACTTAGAAGTGTTTAAGAAACTTTTTTCACAAATAACCCCCCCCCTTTAATTACTTGTTTTTGAAAAAACCTTGGCTAAATAAACATAATTGTTGAAGTTAAGTCTAATCCAGTTTTCTTGTGGGATCGACCCCAACCTACTAGTGGGTTCTTTACTTGATTACGAATGCTTATACTTCTTTAGGGACGTGTAATTTGAGCGTAATAAATTTTGGCACCTCTGCCACATAATCTGGAATTTAGATTAACTTTAAATACATTATTGATATTTAGGCAACAATTTCCTTATTTTACTTTTTCTGTTTCTTTTTGTCTCTTTCAGGTCTTTGTTTAGTGAATGCTAACTACAAAAAGATGACGAGAACCACTTATTCATTCAATCCTTGACTTAATCGTACATTGCGAAGAATTGAAAATCAACAGAACCCAATTAATTTAGGTGATGTGATAATTTGTCTACCTCTATTACCAGTTGAGGCACACAATCAAGTTCAAGTTTAAAATTAATTGGATAATGATTTGACGATGAAGTCCCCAAAACCATGACCTCATGATTACTATAGGGGAAACATTAATATTGTTGATTTTATGGACCTCTTGTCCTACCCTCTTCCCACCCGAGCACACATTTTGGTGGCGAGTAGCTTGATGCAGATGCTCACTGCGAGGGTTTTATTCCTACGACTACCATAAGAGGACCCGCATGCTGACATAGCCAAATTCAGGTCTGTGCGTGAGACCTGATTAGGAAGGCCAGACTAGGATATGAATGTCATTGGGTTGCGAGTGTTTCCTCCATCACTGATAGAAGATGCCTCCATATGGTTTATTGACTTCCCTACAACTCCTTTTATACTGAAGATCAGTTAAAAGATGTTCTTCACAAGGTATTACCCAGTGTCCAAGAAGGTCAACCACAAAGATAAATTAAACAACTTTTTGGCACTGTGTAAGTAGTAAGTGAGTAGATCTTCGGACTTATGTACTGCATTTGTGAGAGGCTTCCCAAATCAATGCATTGATGATGAGTCGTCAAAAGAGTACTTCTATCGGGGTCTAGATGATAACAATAAAACAATACTCGACACGATTGCAGAGGGTTCCGATAGAGAGTGCACATATGCAAAGATCACAGAGAAGTTGGAGATGGTATCTTGCAACAACAAGGCTTGGAGCACTAGAAAGTTGAATATTGGGAGAAAAACCTTTGCACTACAAGCTACAAACAACCTAACAATAGATGAGATTCCTGAAGAGTTGGCACAGATGAGAACTAAGCTAGGGTTGGTTTTGAAACATGTGAGGGGAGGTGTAGAAAAGGTAAATGCGGTGAACTATATAACTAAACAACACCACCGGTAGATAAGAAGATGGAGGGTTTCCAACCAAACGCCCAAGGCTCGAATAAGGACAGTTGGCGCCAAGGTCAAGGAAATCAAGGTCGGTACTATGGTAACTATAATCGAGAGGGTCAATATGTTTGAGATGGGAACTACAACCGCAACAACAACTTCAACTGGGGTAACTATGGTAATAGGAATGACCGGAGTGGGACATATATTCCCCCACAAAAATGGGAAGTTTCACCCAAGGACGGTTGAGGTAGTATGGCACGAGTTGAAGATATGATACAAAACATCATGAGAAGATTTGGTACTAGTATGAGCATGCCAAGGAGATGAGAGGTTATTTATGTAATATTTCGCAAAAGGTAGATGCACATGTAATTTAAATTAAGCATCTTGAGTTACAGATTGCTCTATTGTCTACTGCTGTGAATCCACGCCAACTTGGCACTCTTCCTAGAAACACCATCCAAAATCTTAAAATTGATAGGCATTGTGTGGCGTTCACTACTCGAGGGGGTAAGCAAACCATTGATCCACCTATGCCGCATGTGGTAGAAGATGATATGAGAAAAGACAAAGTGGTTGTAGAAACTAGTGGACGTTGGTGCACAACACAGTGATAGAAGCAGAGGTGTCTCAGAAATTTGTCCCTATTCCTAGACCTCCACCACCATTCTCTCCGAGATTAGTGAAGAAGACTAAGGATGGTAAATACCAATGATTTATCACTATGTTGAAACAAGTTTCCATCAATGTCCCTATGATAAAAGCTTTGGAACAAATGCCCGACTATGCTAAGTTTGTGATGGATATGGTGATAACAAAGAGATCGGTGAGTTTTGAGGATGATGACAGAATGCAACATTATAGAGCTATTTCTACGAGGTCTCTTATGCAGAAAAAGGAAGATCCTGGCGCTTTCACCATTCCATGTACAGTAGGATTGCTACACTTTACTAAACCACTATGTGATCTTAGTGCAAGCATAAACCTCATGCCTCTTTCCATTTATAAGAAGTTAGGCTTAGGTGACCCAAAACCTACTAAGATGCGGTTAATGATGACTGATCGAATAGTGAAGAGACGTATTGGTATACTCCATGATGTTCATGTAAAAGTTGAGTCATTTATATTTCTAGCCAATTTTGTGATTCTTGACAGTGAAGTTGATTTTGAGGTTCCCAATATTCCAGGGAGGTCATTCCTTGCCACATGGTTTGCATTGTTTAGGCTGAACAATGAAGAAATAACATTCAACATATGTAGGTCCATGAAGCAGAGTGGTGAGATCCAAACGGTATCTTCTATATCCTACAGAGTTTAGAGTATTTCTTAGGTACAAACTGAAGAGCGACTAGGTATCAAGGCACTAGCAGCAGTTATTATGAATTTTGAGAGTGATGGTATTGAATATTATGGGTCCCTACACTACACCATTTTAGGCCTATGGCCACACTAAATCTGAGTAACACTTGAAAAGTGTTGCCTAAAAAACTTTTGGGAACACTTTTAAAATGTAGCATTAATTTTTATGTTCTGGCAACAATAATATTGGCAACACTTGTAAAGTGTACCCATTAATGGTATAGGTTACACTTTTTTAAGTGTTGTCATAGTATGAAATTAATGGCAACAATTATTTATATATATGGCCACACTTTTAAAGGGTCCTATTTTTATAATTGTAAACACAACACTTTCGAAGTGTGGCCTAAAAAAAATTCACCAAAATATTATATTCCTCCAACACTTCCAGTCTCCCTCCCATTTTTATTGGCCAAAAAAATAATTGTTAAAATATTAGGGCTTAGAGAGGAAGCTGAGCTGAAAAATCCACACGATTTTTACGCTCAAGAACATACGCCCCAGAATATAGCTGAAAAATCCACACAATTTCTTTTCTCAAGAACATCAAATCGACTGAATGAGCTAAAAATCGAAGAGAGGAAGCTGAAAATCGGAGGAGCTGAAGAGAGGAAGCTGAAGATTGAAGCAGAGTTGAAAATCGGAGGAGCTAAACTGATTCTACTCTCCAAAATCGGATGAGCTGAAAATCAGAGGAGCTGAGCTGAGCAGATGTTGACCAACTGATTCTACGCTCCAAGCTTTGTTAGTGTAAGACGGTTTTTTCCCCAAATACGAAAATACAAATTCCTTTAAATTTTTCCATTAAAATTGTTTACAGATTCCTTGTTGAAGATCGAAGAGCTGAAGAAAGTGATTTTTGTCACATATTTTTTGTTGATGAGTTGCTCTTTTCATCATAGATTCTTTGTTAACGAGCTGTTTCGTCGGATTTCACAAATGAAAAATATGTTTCACACATGAACACGCCTCACGTCTTGGGTTGTTGCAACAGTGTTTGTAAGGTATAAAATTTTATTTCTGAGAGTCTTAATTATAGCTTTTAGGTTTTGATATGAAGAACTGAGGTGTAGCTAAGTCGTCTTTCTTCAAAGAACTAAATTGTTGAAGCTTGTGATTCCTACGATATTTTGTCCCTAATATAGATTTCGTCAACTGTAAGTAGCTACTCTATATGAATTTTAAAAGTTTTTAATGCCTGTTTTAATGTCATTGTTTTTTTAGTCTTCCTGAGTTCATTGTTGTGCTCACCTTTAGCTTGGTTTGTTCCTTTGTTAACCACATTGATTATGTCTTGTAGCTATTTGCTTGTAAAATGTTTCTTTTTTCGACTACATGCCTTGAAGTGTTAGAAGTCATTTTGTTGTTTCTCTATTTCATTTTTAAGTGTACATTAGAAACTTTAGTTGAATATTCTTAGTTGTTTTGGGATCACCTCGTAGTATGAATTTGCAAAACTTTATTTGTATTTTGAGTTGCACTATATAGAAAATGAATCATATGCCTTAGAGATAGACGATATAGGATATATTTTTCAAGTCTAGAAGGGGTAGAGAGAGAGTGATACACTAAAACTAACTTCAATGAGAAAGAGTAAAATCTGAAAGTTCGCTTGATTAATCAACAAAAATCACCAACACTCAATGATAAAAGTCTCAAGATAACCTAATAATATTACAGAGTCTAACTAATAATCCAGCGTCTATCAATGCGGAGTCTAACCTCAAAAATGAGGTTTTTCGACGGATCGTCATGGCCACGATGGACCGTCATGGACGTCATCGTCCCACACTTTTACTCTCTTCATTACCCTCGACGGCAAGTATTAAGGATCGTCTAAGACACGACGGTCCGTCGAGGGTCTTCGTTCCAAAAAACATAAACTCTTGGTATATGGGTACTGGGATTACTTCTCTGAACTTCATGACGAACCTGCAGGACGGGCCGTCATAGACTCGACGGACCGTCGTGGACTCCGTAACCCCACACTTAGACTTCCCCATCTTCCTTCAGCAGCTGCACTACGCTGCCACCTACGGATCGTCACATACACGACGGTCCGTCGAGGGTCTTCGTTACAAAACACATAAACTCTTGGAATATGGGTACTGGGATTACTTCTTTGAACTTCATGACGAACCTGCAGGACGGACCATCACAGACTCGACAGAGCGTCATGGTTTCCATAACCTCGCACTTTGTTAGACTTCCCCATCTTCCTTTAGATGCTGCACTACGCTGCCACCTACAGACAGTCACAAGCACGACGGACCGTCACAAGCTCCGTAACCCCACACTTAGTCAGGTTTCCCCATCTTCCTTCAGCAGCTGCACTATGCTGCCACCTACGGACCGTCACAAGCACGACGGACCGTCACAAGCTCCGTAGGTGGTCTCTCCTGCATTTCCTCACTTAAAATCTCCGCATTTATCTATGGACAGATTTATGTATTTCCTATTAATTGTACTTATTTTTTCATTTAAAGTGTCATTAACATTGAAAAACATTTGTGGAGGGTTAAAGGTTTGATTTGACATAGCGAAAGCCTCATGACTAGGTAAGAAACTTTTATCATCTCATAACACATGATTCTGATAGATTACTCGTGACTTTTAAAACGTATTTGTTAACTGGTTAATGATTATTGCTGAAAGATTAAATATTGATATATTCTTCTAGGAGTTCACATATCCCATCCCAGGATTGGATGAATTTAGCAAGGTATAGCAAAGAGTATATTGATGGCATTGAATTATTTCTAGATTTTTCTTACTCTTATGGAGATCCTCATGGAGAGAAAATTCAGTGTCCATGTGAGAAATGTTGTAATATTCTTTGGAACCGAAGGAATGTAGTGTATGATTATCTAATATGCCATGGATTCGTTAAAGGCTATACTAGATGGATCTATCACGGGGAATGGGATATCATGTGGAATGTTGATGATGATATGGATTACTCGTGTGATGATATTGATGGGTTGTTGAATGATCAATTTATAGATGTTGCACAGGCTGGAGGAGTTTATGATGGTCCAAATGAAGATGCCAAGAAATTCTACAGCTTACTTAAAGAGGCAAACCAAGAATTATATTCTGGTTGTATAGGTTTCTCTAAATTATCACTCTCACTTCGCTTATATTTGTTGAAGTGTTTAAATGGATAGAGCAATGAATCATTCACTTCTCTTCTGGAGTTATTAAAAGTGGCGATGCTCGAGTTGATCATTCCTCAGTCTTACAATAAAACCAAGTCTATGGTTAAGAATCTTGGTCTGGATTATGATAAAATTGATGCATGTCCAAATGATTGCATGTTGTTCAGGAATGATCATAAGGATGACGAATTTTGTCAAACTTGTGGAGCTTCACTATATATTCGTGCTGCTAAAGTTGATAGTGAGCTTGAGTCTTCAAAAAAACAACATCGAGTTTTTGCAAAGACTTTGAGACACTTTCCGTTAATTCATAGACTCAAAAGGCTATTTATGTGCTCAAAGACGGCAAATTCTTTGAGTTGGCATGAAGAGAAACGTTCTAAAGATGGAAAGTAAGCCATCCCGCTGATGGTCTAGTATGGAAAGACTTTGATAGGGTGCATCCAAATTTCACACAAGATTGTCGCAATGTGAGACTGGGCTTGTCAAGTGATGGATTCAATCTATTTCGAACAATGAGTAAATCACATAGCACATGGAAAATTATGTTGATGATTTATAATCTGCCGCCTTGGATGTGCATGAAATCTAAATATTCCATACTTTCTTTACTAATACCTTGACCGCGATCACCTGGAAATGACATTGATATTTACTTACAACCATTGATAGACGAGTTAAAACTATCATGGGATTCTGGGGTTGAAACATATGATGCTTCAAGAAATGAAACTTTTCAAATGCGGGCAGCTCTTATGTGAACAATCAGTGATTTGTCTGCATATGCTATGCTATCTGGTTGGAGTACAAAAGGAAATTTTGCTTGCCCTTGTTGTAACTATGGCACTAATTTTCGCTATCTTAAACATAGTCGGAAAATGTGCTATATGGATCATCGTATTTTTCTACCGATGGACCATCCATGGAGATCAAACAAAAGATAATTGAATGGAAAAACTGAATTTAGACCTCCTCCAGCTCCTTTAAAGGGAATTGATGTTCTTAATAGCTTACGTGATTTTGAAAATGTGTTTGGGAAGAAGAAAAAGAGATCAAATGATGGCCCATGGGAAAAAAGGTCAATTTTTTTTTGAATTACCTTACTGGCAGCACAACTTGTTACGTCACAACCTTGATGTAATGCACATAGAGAAGAACATAGTTTATAGCATACTTGGAATTTTTTTGGATATTTCAGGAAAAACAAAGGATCATACAAAAGCACAGTATGATTTGAAAGATATGGGAATCAGGAAGAACCTTCATCCACAAGATACAAAAGATAGTAAGAGAACAAAGTTTACAAAGGTGTGCTTCTCAATGACAAATGGAGAGAAATCCATCTTTTGTGGAGTTTTAAAGACAGCCAAGCCACCTGATGGTAGTGCCTCCAATATATCTAGGTGTGTGCACTTGGATGAAAAAAAGGTGTCTTATTATAAAACCCATGATTCTCATTTCATGTTACATTACTTGCTTCCAATACCAAATAAAATCATTCTTCCTGATCATGTGGCTATTCCTTTGATTCGTCTAAGTTCTTTCTTCCATTGTTTGTGCCAAAAAAAATCACATTGGAGGAACTGGATTGCTTAGAAGTAGAGACCATAGAAACAGTAAATCAGTTAGAGCGAATTTTTCCTCCTTCATTTTTTGATATCATGATTCATTTGCCTATTCATTTGGTGAATGAAGTAAGATTAGGCGGCCAAGTGCAAAATTGGTTGATGCATTCCACATAAAGAGAAATGTGTACATTCAAATCATACATTCGCAATAGGCGTTTTCCAGAAGGTTGCATAGCAGAGACACGAGTGGGAATAGATTGCATGTGAGTCTAATAGGAGAGCGCGAAACAATGATGAATGTGACCCAAGTGGCGCAGAACCTGTGAGTTTGTTTTCTAACAAAGGAGTTCCTTTAGAAGCAACGAAAACTTATCCAATCATTTTAGATGACATGTCACTAAGTCAGACACATGCATACTTATTGGCAAATTGTGAAGATGTTCAAGAATATATTAGGTACCTCAATTTGAATATAGCATTCCTTTTGTATAATTAAATTTTTATCTTATTTAATTTATTATTTTAATAAATATAGTTAATGTTTTGTAGAGAGCATGAGCAAGAGGTTAATAATAAGTCACAAAGATCTAAATGGATCAAAGCCAAGAATCATTGCCAAAACTTCTCTCAATGGTTTGAAACTCATGCTTTGCAAGAGGATGTGCTTGATTTGATAAAACAATTGTCTAGAGGACCAAATTCTGTTGCAAAGAGATATTCTGGGTATCTCATAAATGGATATAGGATTCCATGTTAGGCAGCGGGATGCAAGTTGTAAAACACAAAATAGGGGTGTTACACTAATTTCCTCAACTACAAGCTTTGCAAGCTCAAAGGATAAAAATCCGATTGTTGCAGATTTGACTTATTATGGTAGAATAGTTGATATTGTTGAATTAAACTATTACAGCTATTTTAAGGTTGTTTTATTTAAGTGTGATTGGTATGAGGTTGA